TGATTTTTTCTTATAAAGTTCTTGTAAATTCATTAATAATGAGTTTTAGAAAAGTTAAGGAAAAGAGTTAAGCAATGAAGAAAATTGTTATGATCACCATAGAGGTAAAAAAGGAATTGTTGAAAAATATGAAAATGCATGCATACTGAGATCTAGCTATTGTATACCATATGCATATAAAAGGTGTTTACCAGTGGTGCCATGATGTTGGTAATGTCTATGATTGTGAAAAGTGAAGACACTATTAAATTGACTAATGTTGTGAAGGGGGATGAATCTGATTACCAAACAAAGATCAGAATCATTAAAAAATTTTGAAAACTTGCTTTTGATGTGGATAGCAGAAAAACTTTTATATGCAGTATCACGGGCAGTTCCACGGGCTGCATGCGGCCTTGAAGCAGTTTTATGCAGTCCATAAAGACATTCCAGTTATGAATTTGTTGCAATGTTAAAAAGACTTCAGGATTTTAATTATTTTAAGTCCAAGTTTACGTTATTTCCATTACTGTTTAAAACTAACATGCATAATGCATCAGAAAATCTATAAATGAAGCTAACTCATTTACAATCCAATATAAATCTTATTCAAAGATTTGAAGATTCAAATTTTATTAACTTTTATTCATACTTGTTAAAAAGCAAATAAATTCACTTAGAAATTTTTGAACTGAGAATAATTGCTATGTTCTTTGTTATATTTATATGTGAGTGGCCTTTTTTCATAGTTGATAGTTAATAAGAAAGAAACCCAATTGACCAATGAACATCTGTAATGCATGATGAAGATAATTTCTCTTAAATCTCTCCAAGGCTACAAACTTTATCAGAACGGAAATGCCATGAAGTATCAAGCTGTAATGAGAAATAAAAGTTCATAATACATACAAAAATATGTATTTTTGTTCATGCTTAAAAAAATTAATAAGTAAGAGAAGGAAACTAAGTTGTCATTATTCATTCTCAAGTTTTGTCCCACTTGGAAAATTTTAGCTGGAAAGTTAACATTTTCACAGTTTCTTTCAGTTTAAATTAAATTATTTATTGATTTAATCTGATTTATCTTAGAACTATTTTAAACAAACATCAGTCTGAAAATTTAATATTTAGCTGTCATTATATTTGTATCACAAAGTGTAACCAACAAAAATGTCTTACAAGTACCAAACTTTGGACTTTAGATAAAAATAAATATGTTTGCATTTTTTCTTTGCAATACTATTATTATTGTTTACCTACATTTTGAAAAATACTTAGTGAATGAACTTTAATTTTTTCATTTGAAAATTCTGTTAAAAAGGTTCTGGCTTGTGAACTTTTTTCAGATCGTGCATATGGTCGATAGGCAATTTGAGTTTGAGACCACTGATGTACAATGTGTATATTTTGCCCATTGCATTTGTATTTTAGTAATAAACAGTGTTATAATAGTAATAATAGGATTTTTTTATGAGAATAGATTAATTATTTCCCTTTTATTTTTTACTAGGAAAGGTCATGTGGTCAGGGGCGTAGCTAGAGTTTTCAGCGCCCGGGGACAACTGAAGAATTTGTGCCCCTTTCTGTGTGCCAAAAATGGAAAATATTTCATTAAAAATTTCGTAGCATCAATTTGGCGCCCCTTGGATGCTGTGCCCGGGGACAGATGTCCCCCCTTGCCCCACCCTAGCTACGCCACTGCATGTGGTATACGTTCAAGGACCTGGAATGGAGATTAATGATGTCTATTGAGGTACCACTGTATATGCATGCATGTCTGTTTGATTAAATAAAAATTGTGGCTTTAATTATAAAAGAGTACACATGTTAAAGCAGTTTTGCAAATAAGTTTGATTCTTGTGAAGAACGAGGAAAAATGTGTCAATCTAAGCAGAGTAGCAATTTGTCATGCCTCAAACCTTTCACATCAGGCTGAGCAAGCATCATTATTTGTATAGTTTGTGATATCAGTAGTAGACATCAGTAAACCATTGGCTAGGCAAATATAGTGACTGTAGACTGCTACTGATGAATGCAATTGATGATCTCTCTCTTGCAGCCTAACAGGAGAGAAGATCATTGATTGTATTTGTCATATTTTTCTGTTCCTTAATTTTCAACAGTTCAGCTTAATTCATCATTACCACTGTCACCACCACCAAGCATCAAGCTCACCATAACATTAGTAATGTAACCGGGACTCAAATTTTGGCAGACAACCTGCTGTGTAATAGCTTTTCATGGTTTTCCACATTTGTAACATAAGGGCAAGTTTCTGTTAAGCTGACCTCTACAAAAGTATCTTTCCCTAAGGCAGATAGATGGCCCTCAAATGCTTTGTTGTAATCTAAGTAATCTAATCCACTAAGCTTCAGAACTAGACAGAAACTTGCTGTCTTCAAAGTTAGAAAGGTGAAAGTTTAATACTTATATTATTTCTATTTATTTGCATTGTACATTCATCATACCATTCTTAATTTTAGTGTTATTTTAGGTATTAAGTGTTATTTACTATGAGGCCCACGAGCGGTAAGACACTGAACACTGGTAGTTCGGTCCGAGGTTCGAATCCTGCGAACGGGCTGCCTGCATGGGTGTTTTTGTGCTTTTCCCCATGTGTAACATGTATAAGAGCCAGTTTCCCTTAGAAAGTCCTCCACGAAGGCATCCCTCCCTTTAGGCAGATAGCCCTTGTGTGCTTTGCCATAATTAAATTATCCAATCCAATGTTATTTACTATGATGTGATAGTCATTTTCCTGTAAATTTAATGGGCAAGAAATTCATTGGAGAAGTTGCTTTAGATTAACTTAAAAGAATTTCTCAAATATATATATTTGAAGTAATAATGTGGCTTTGTATTTATTCTTTGTAATTTATTAAAAATATTTATGGATAACTTTCAGTATTAACAACATATTTGAATGTTTTACTGGATATATGACCTTTGGAGTAAATAAATTTTCTAAACATTTTATTCTGTTAATGGAATACATGTACAAAAAAACTTTTACTTAAACTATCACTTACTTGCATGCAGTCGAATGTAATAAAATAATGCCAGAATACTATTTCCTTTAAGAAAAGTATTTCCGAGAAGATGGTTAACTGCTAAAAGGGGCTCAGGTGAGTAATTTAGGTAAAAGCAAATACAAAATAATATTTACTCTAATTCTTGGTTCATTTGGTGTCAAAACAATGTGAATGACATCATTAATGAATGTTTATAAAATGGCATGCATGCTCTGCATGCTAAATATGGTATTCAAAATTAGCAGTTTATTAATAGTTAATGGCATCATTAATTTATTCAGCAGGTTAGGAACTTTATCTGAGATTGTCAAAGTTCAAAATCAGTCTTTTTTTTTCAACTTACAGATGAATGTTTTGGCTGACAAAAACATACATTTGGAATATATATGTTATTAGTGTTTTTATTATTTGGGAATATAATGCAGAAGCTGAAAATACATCTATGCACAGAGAATAAGACAAGGCAGAAGTACAGAAAAATGATCAATCTTAACATTTAAATATTTTATATAATTGGTGAGAATAGTTTACATTTAAGTATTTTGAACCTTTCATATATTGATGAATAAGATGCTTGAATGCTTGAATAATGGCAGTTCATTGAAAAAAAATCGTCAAAAGGAGAACGTTAATTTAACCAATAAGGAGGAAAAAAATTACACATATTTAACAGAGAACTCCAATGTGTGGAGTAAGGACTGCAAAACTTCAGTGATACTGGTGGTATGAGAGCTAATTTCAAAGCAATATACATTTCCCATGGTTTTAGCTCTTATTGTCTGTAGTTTCAAAAGACATTTTGGTATGAAGGAATAAAAATTAACTTTTGAGACAATGTAGAGCCTGAGACTATGATATTAATAAGCATTGGAAGGCCTTCGTACCAGCTGGAATTGAAGGGAATAGTAGCTTAACAGTCACTACATACATTTTGCAATTATTTTCATTAAAAATAGTGTAATTGCTTCATTGAGCGGCATTGCTTCATTTCGAGTCATTAGATTACCTTTGATTATGTGAATTGTTTCCTGTAAGACTGCCAAGCAATCCAGCATTTGGAATAAAAGTAGTCTCAGTTTGATTCTGTAATTTTGAATTAAATCATAATATTATTGAACAGAATGTGAGCATATTGCTGTTCATATATATAAACCAATGAAATTCTAGAAAGAAATTCAGCACCATTACTTTATATCAAGATTACCATTTAATTAGATGGTATTTTCATTCATTACACTGTATATTCGCAGATTTTCATTCAGTAGCACATTTTTAAAGGAAGCTTGTTTGTCAGCAGTGAGAGACAAATGGAAGGCAACTTTATCTGATATTCTAGTTTTCAAGCAAAACTTAAGGTAATTTTGTCTTCTAGTTTGGATTTTGGAGTAAGATTACTTTGTGGTATATTTTTTGAGAAAAGTTTGTCTTATTTGGAGCTTAAATGTATTCTGGAAGCCGTACAAAATCCTGTTTCATTTTTAATCATGCTTCAGATTTCTAAAACGAATGCATCACCCAGCATCACTGGTGTAATATATTATGATAGGCAACTTTGAAAAAGGCCCAGAAGTAAGAATAAGCCAATTTTCAACTAAATGCGCCATTAATTTTAACTTCAAAGCAGAAAATTGCCTTTCCTTTAAAAAATTGTGCCATTTCAGTGGTAAAGAACAAACATTTACTTCTTGCAGCTGCATGCAGATATGGAGAAATTCGTTGACTCAGGCATGTTGTGGGAGGAAAGGAGGAAAAAAGAAGAAATATCCTTTTCTTGTATAATATACATATTTTATTACTGTTGCTGGTACTTGAAAAGCATCCAGGGTTAAGTCAGAGAAGATACAATACAATTAATTTTGTTTTAAATATCTGATTCTAAATAAAATTGATGATTCAATGTAAAGCTGTAATTTAAAGCAATTAATAATAAATCCATTATACATTTGAGTTTAAAATAATAATTTCGTTTTCACAATTTTAAATTTATAGACATCCTGGACATGTATTGCTTGCCCTAAGATATGCCTCATCATCGGGGACATCTCCAAGCCAGCAGTGGTAGCTATATCTGCTTACAGATGTAAACTGCAAAGGAACTGTGGCTGCATGAATCATAGAAGCCACAGCATGAGAGGAAATGAAGGCATCCTCTCTAATAGAACTTGAATAAGAAACTGAATAAAACTGGAATGAGTGCTGGAATGAATGTCACATTCTGCTTGGAATCGGCGGGTAAGCCTAGCCAGGTTTTCATCTTTACTAAACTAAAGTGCCTTTGTTTGTTTACTGACAATGTATTGAAATTTGTTTCTGTTGGTTGTCATTTCATATATCCACATTTAGAATTTTTCCATAACTTTTTTCGTCCAGCTTCTGAAGAATGCTAGTATTTGTTCCTTAGAGAGTGTAGAAATGTACACTTAAATCAGTACAGCCAGGTAGTATTTATTAATACCTGGCTTGAGCACGTGCAAGTAATAGCTTATGCAGATTATCCTTGTATGGTTCTATGACTCCACTCTTATCAGCTTCTTTGGAAATTGTGAGAGCTGGAGGATGACATATGAAGCCATCATCATTAATGGTTTTGCCATCACGTTTCTGGTCGACATGTCGCTGCCTTAACTGACCATCCACCTTTATATTGTAATGTAGCTGTCCATCCTTGGTTTGGATGGTGCTATTTCTCCATCGCCTGTCAGGCAGGCAATAATTTCTTATTGCCACTTTATTGCTAGTCCTAAACATCTGGTGTGCAAACTCATAGTTTCCTTTTCAAACTCTCTTTTTGAAACCCCCTTTTTTGAGATCTGGTCTTAGTAAGTCAATTCTTGTTCGAATTTCCTTTTTTAGCAATAACATCGCAGAGCTCTGTAGAGTAGTTAAGTTCTGAGCCTTTTTGTTTTGCATTAGAAATATACCGAGTTTTTGGTCTCAGAGCTGCCGTATAATTTTACATGGCTCTTAAGGATTATTTTACTGTAAACACATATTGTTCAGCCAGCCCATTACTAGATGGCTTAAATAGTGCAGTTTTTTTTGTTTGTTTGTTTGCTTTTGTTATTCGGCAGGAATATCTTAAATTCATATGAAATAAACTGTAGCCCATTATCACGCATTAACAATATTAGTAATCCAAATAATGCAAAAAGTTCTGCATCCATTTTTTTCCTCTTTTTTAAAGCCGAGTTTGATTTTGTTGGGTAGGCTTCTAGCCATTTTGACTGAGCATCGATGATTATCAAAAACATATACTCAAAAACGGGTCCTGCATAATCCATGTGAAAACGTTCCATTGGAGCACTCGTGTGCATTTAGTGATGGACCTTTACCTTCGAAGGATCTGATTTATGTTTTGCACATTCAGAACAGCTTTTGAAAGTATTTTCGATATCCTTATCTATACCATTCCAGAACACATGATTTCTACAATTGCTTTCATCTTTACAATCTTTAAGTGTCCGTGGTGCAACTCTTTTTAACACACTCTCATGGCGTCATTTTGTAATACAAATGTGTTCGCCATACTTTATACAGCCATCTTGGAGACTGTACTCCATCTCCCTTCCTTTCAGTTCACTACCACTTTCAAGTATTTGTAGTCGAGGACTGAGTTCTGCATCAATTTAAGTTTCATTAGCCAAATCTCTGGCAGTGACTGGAAACGTTTCAGTCTGCTGTAATTGAAAAATATTTACATCAATCTGAATGCAGATTTGGTCTGAGTTTGTTGGTAGTCATGAAAGAAAGTCAGTATTGCCATGCTCGCTTGTTTTATGGTAGAAATGACTGTAAGATCAAAATGTAGTGCAGGCATCGTGTTACTGCCAAGACTAGCATGCCTCTCTTTGAGTGGAAAATTGGTAGAGGTTTTATGATTTGTAAGTAACGTAAATTTCCTGCCATTTAAGAAAAACTTTTTTTTTTTCTCCAGATGATTGACAAGGCTTCTTTATCCAGTTTGAGAACACTTTTTTACCGTTTTAGTAAATGTTCTAGAGGCATATGCAATTAGCCTTTCAGTTCTGTCAAATAAAGTGTGTGGGAAAGTACTGCATATAACCCCACTCATTCAGTTCCCAATGTTAAAGGTAATTTTGGATCATAATGCGTCAAAATCTTGTGAACATGGTTCTTTTTATATGTTTAGAAAAGCCTTCTGAAAAGCCCTGTCCAATCCCATTTTGAATCTTTCTTAGTTAAATATTACAAGGGGTTTGCGATTGTTGCTAAATTTGGGCAAAATTTACCATAAAAATAAACTAATTCCAAGCAACTTTAAATTTCTTGGACTTTTCTGGGTCTCAGTGCTTTGACAGTTGCTGATATTTTTACATTGGTTTTATGTAAACCATTAGCATCAATTTTGTGATCTAAAAATCGATGCTAATAGTGTTTTTAAGTCACAAAATCGATACTAATGATGTATCTACTTTTCTCAAAATTTAATTTTAATGCATGAGCTTTACATTATTGGAAGACATTTTTTAAAATAATATAAATGATCATGATCATCAGACCCTGTTACTCAAGTATCATCCATGAAGACTTCACCCTTCCATACCTTGGAATAGTTGGGCCAATGTAATGTTGCCAGATTGTCGGTGCTGTGTTTAACTTAAACATTAATCTCTTAGGCCCATATTGCACACTTATTTCTTTCACTCGATCAACTGTTTCAGACAATTTTTCTGCCTGCTTTACTATTGAAAGGAACACGTGGATCATGATCATCAGACCCTGTTACTCAAGTATCATCCATGAAGACTTCACCCTTCCATACCTTGGAATAGTTGGGCCAATGTAATGTTGCCAGATTGTCGGTGCTGTGTTTAGCTTAAACATTAATCTCTTAGGCCCATATCGCACACTTATTTGTTTCACTCGATCAACTGTTTCAGACAATTTTTCTGCCTGCTTTACTATTGAAAGGAACACGTGCAATTTTTTTTCTTCCTTTCCAAAAAAATTGCAAATTGTTCGTTTTCAACCAATCAGCTATCAGTTTCGAATGCTATCAGTGTGTTTGTAATGAAGGACCAGTTTTCCCTGTGTTAACCCCAAAGTGATCTGTGGTGATTGGCTGTTGTAACAAAGCAGAAAAATTGTTCCAAACAGTTGTTATTCCGAAACAAACAGATATGTGATAGCAGCCTTACACATATATAAGCTCTTGTGTATGGTTATTGTTAACAATTTTTGAGTCTCTGTGTGTACTTTCATTTATTAGCAAGCATGTTTAAAATCAATTTTTGAAAAATGCTTTCCCTCACTCAAACGTGAAAATGTTTCCTCAGTAGTCGGCAAAGGGTGTTACAATTGGGTTTACTGTCAGCAAATACACACAGTTGAATAGCACCGTCTGGCTTAACAATGGGTACTGCTGGAGTAGCCCATTCTGATGTTTTAGTTTTTTTTATTATACCCTCCATTTCCAAATGATCAATTTCTTCATCTATACAGCCTAGCTCTTCAAACTTTTGGGGAAACCTTTGGTTTTAATTCTAGTTGAACCTCATAATTTTTTATCTCTCCTAATTTTTTGTAAAAATTCTCTTTATATTGCTCTAATAATTTATTTAAACTACTTTTTTGAGAGATAGAAATTGACTTTATTGAGATCAAATCTAAATTTATCTCCGAGAGCCATTCACAGCCAAATATTGTATCAAGGTTTCCTTTAACAGTATAATGATTTAAGTTTTTATTTTGTCCTTTATATTCTACATTACCTGTAGTAAATCCTAAAATCAGTTTTCTGCATTATATGTTTTAAATACTAGACTTGTAGTTTGAATTTTGTTTTTCAAAATTAGCCGGAAATTCTTTTAAACCTTTTTGGCACGGTGTGTTCGGTGTGAACACTCCAAAAATATTCCCTCTTTAGATGGCAGGACCACAGAAGCAAATCCTTAACGTTGAGATATACAGCGTAATGCGTTTACGCATGTGGGTTTGATGCAGGCGTCCGCTACGCATGTGCGTAAAGCCAGTAAAGCGTTTACCCATGCGCGCTTTCGATAGTGAAGAAAGTAACAGAGAACGTTATTGAAAACGAAAAAATTTCGATTGACAACTTAGTCGGTATTCTCGACACAGCAATTACAGGACTTGAACAGTGAAACTTTGTAACTGAACAAGAAATTATGTCTGTTTATAGAATTAAAGAGAAAGTATTAGCACAAAAAAATGAAGCAACTTAAACAACTTACATTGATAGAAATGTTTGCTAAAGTAAACAAATAAATATTAAGCTTTTTTTTTTTTTTTTGTAAATTTTTATACCCTTTAGATCATAATTGCTCTTGATTTCATAAATTACAGTTTCAAATTTTTAATTGTATTATTTCTACATGCCATCTTACCAGATTTAAACTGATGATCTATAATCCGGAAAAACCCCTAATCCGGAACCGCCAAAATCCCGATGAGTCTGGATTACAGACTTTGTACTCTATTCTGTTTTTAAAGATACTAATTTTTCAAAGAAATGTTTCAGCTTTTTTTTAACTATAAAGAATATCAATGAAAAAAATCTTTATATAATTTTGTTGTTTGTATGCTAATCTGCCTATTCTGTATTACTTTTAATTTTTATCTTTGAAGTATTGCATATAGTGAAGCCTTCAGTGTATGGTGTCTTCGGACTGAACACACAGTGCCTGTTATGTGGAGCAAGTCATAGAATCTGGTCTCGTGCTTCAAATATGGGGGAGGCTGAGAGTGCAGATTTATTTATATTTGTTTTTATTCTCTTCTGTTTTGGGTTTCGAAGACCCTGGTGCTTTGTTTTCACTTAGCTATTTGATTTTCAGTGAGAGCAGACCCTTTTTTTCTCTTGCTTTCATCGTGCATAATTTGCTTAGTTTTGATTTCTGTAGATTTTTATTTGTATATATATTTAATAATTATTTTTTTCTAGTCAATAATTAATTGTAAATATTATAGTATTTTAATTATTTTTCTTATAAATATTAAAATTGTGTAAATGGCTCGGAGAGGCCTCAGCATTGTCGAAGCAATGAGAGTTCCCCCCCCGGTTTTTATTTGGGGGGTGTAGAGTAGCAGGCCTCCCCATGGTGCACCCTGGGTTATGCTAAATCTGCTACAGAGATCAGATTCTACTATTTTTAAATCATAGACAAAGTAGTTTACTGTAATATGTGCTTCACAACAATGCTCGCCTATCGCAGCTCGTGTGGCTCAGTGTGTTCGCTTCGGACATACTCACAAAATGGAAATGGTTTGTGCAATCTTTGTAAAAGTATACCTGCATACTCGCCTAGGCCTAAATAGACTGCCTACAATTTTTTTTCGTAAAATTTCAACTTTAAAGAGTAGCGTGCTGGAAAGGGTCAGTTCATTACTGATACTGCACACCATGTCCAGTTCCATTGCTAGCGGTTTTCATTCTATGTTCACTTGGACCATTATGGGTTGGTTTCCCTTTTCTTTTATCTCACTGGAATTGATGCTATGTATAGGAATTGTGTTTTTGTTTCTTACATCAATATATTTTTGTCTTGCTTTCTTACTTTCAGCAATTTTAACATTATAGCTCGCTCTTTCAATATGCCCAATTTTCTTACAAAATTGGCAGGTATTTGCTTTAAGTTTATAAGAATTTCTATCATGGTCCACTCCCTGTGCATCATGAGTACATTTTATCTCTAACACTCTTAGCTGAAAAGTTTTGTTTTTTAAACTTTTGTTTTGGAGCAACTGACTTACATTTACCTTTATTCTTGACACTAAACTCCTTAATTTCTACTGGTTTACCCGTTATTTTGTTTGTACCTTTTAACACTTTCTCCATTGCCAGAAGTATCATCTAAACTGATATTATCCTGCTGAAAAATTCTATCTAGAATAGCCCTATCTCTTAGCCCACTAACAAACACATCCCACAACATCATATTTATCATATTCTGATCGAAAGCACACAGTATGGGGGGTATCATAACTGTGCCATATACACATTAATTAGTTTCCCTTTATGCTGCTTTCAATTTAAAAATACATGCCTGGTTGTTATTATAAGTGGCTTAGGATTTAAATGGTTTTACAGTGTTGTTTTTAACACTATCTTATCAGAAGCAGTCTTATCTTATAGCTATCTTATTTTTAATTTTTATCAGAAGGATTATCAGAGGCCAGCAAGTTTTTTTTAAAGTCTATACATTTTTCAAAACAAACTAAAAATCAGTAGTTTTGAACTGAACAGAAAGGTTCAAATTATCAGTTTTGGGAGTAATAAGTGGAGTAAATGTATCTACAAAGGGGGGGGCTTTATTTTGCTCTATCATTCCAGTTAACTAGCTGATTCATGTTTAGTTCCTCTGAAAAAGCAAAATGACTATAAAACTTTTACCTTGAGCTGTTTACGAGAAATTCCCTACTCGAAAATGAAAGTGAATATCTGATAGCTGAAAAGCTTTTTGTATAAGCTCTATTTTTATTACTTTATTTTTCTGCAGCCATCGACCCCAGTTTCTCATGCTATCATCATATATGTAAAGTATAGCATTGTTCATAGTAATATTATTTTCCCTTGAGTTTTGCTTTGAGTGGCAACAGTTGTAAGAAGTTATATTTTGGTAGAATAAACTCTTTTGGTTGTATTTAAAATTTTAGGTAGAAATATGAGTTTATGAATGGACAAAATGGTGAACATTACTGTTGTTTCTAACAATCTATTCATTTTACAAAACACTTTATTTTTTAAAAAAATTCTCTTCCGCATAAACGCATGCAAATCCATGACCATTTTCCATAATCTTATCCCCGGTTCACATTCGCTTGGCGCTCGCCAGTTGTGCATTTGATTATGATCAAGTCCTGTTATCTCAATACACCACAAAATTAATAAATGTTTACTTGTGATTTTTATAATTTGATATGAATATCAGATTAATAACTGTTTTCTAATGCTGTGTGTTACGTTTACTGAGTGGAAACTAGTTCTGAAACAATAATATAATTTAAAAGTCCCCCCAAAATGGTGGGCTCTTATAGTTAATAGGCATTGGCCACTGCTAAGGCCAGAAGCTGTGGTTTCTTTATTATGGAGGCACTTTAAGGTGGTCCACCATTGCCTCCTGTGAAGGAATTCACAAATTACATCCTTGCCTTCTCGTGGATTCAAACCCAGGCCTTTTCGTATGGCAGTCAGTCACACCACTTTTCTGTCTGCGTGTTTAAAAGTAAAATCAGGAAAATTATAGGGTTGTTTTAAAAATTGCATACGATAATAAAGCCATTAATTCTGATATTCAGATTTATAACATCATACTTAAAGTTTGAGCATTTGAATTCGTTTGCTTCATTAATATTTGTTATGTCATTTTAAATATCATTAAGTTGTAAGAAAATGATGGAGAATCCAAAACTTAATATACATGATGTAGCCACCCAGACGGTATAGTGGTTTGGAAAGCTGACCGCGGCCTACCTATTAGCTGCCTCCATAATAAAGTGACTGCCACTTCTGGCCTTAGTAGTGGCGAAACCAAAGTCGGCTGACAGCCCGCCATTGGATTAACACACACACACACATATATATATACAAAGTATTACAGAAAATTGTTTTATAGGATTTAATTAATCTTAGAACCATTTAAAAATTTGATGGTGTTATTACTTGTATCATGTCAGGGGTAAACAATTTAATTAAATTGATCAAGAGAGTCTATAAAAAGATACATTACAAAATTTTAAACCCTGGTATTCCCATGGTTTTAGACACGACAGTTATACAAAGATACAGTGGATGGACAAAAATATGGAAACACCTTATGAAATGCATGTTTGAAAAGAAAGATTGAATTTAATGAAATACGTAGGTGGCGCTGGCGTTTTTGACTACTGACGCCACCTATAGAACTTCGTAAATGTGCTAAACAGTTCAGTTGTTGTCGGAGTACTGTTGTGTGAGGTTGTCATTGCATTATGTCAGAGTTAACAGACTTCGAACGTGGGCAAATTGTTGGAGCACGTATGGTAGGTGCTTCCGTAAGCAAGGTAGCCGAGGTGTTTAGTGTTTCAAGAGGTACTGTATCGAAGATTTATTCCGCATATTTGAAAAGCGGAAAAACATCATCTGCTAAATCACAGCGTGGATGAAAGTGTGTCCTGAGTGATCGTGACAGACGATCATTAAGGGCAATTGTGACGAAAAATAAGAGGACCACAGCTGCAAAAGTTACTGCTGAAATGAATGTTGTGTTACCGAACCCTGTGAGTACCAAAACAATTAGAAGGAAGCTTCATAAACAGGGAATTGCTGGCCGTGCTGCAATTGAGAAGCCACTCATCAGTGATGCTAATGCCCGTAACAGGAAAAGGTCGTGTTTAAGTCATAAAGCCTGGACTATAGAGCAGTGGAAACGAGTAATATGGTCTGACGAGTCTTCTTTCACATTGTTTCCCACTTCTGGCCGAGTTTACGTCTGAAGAACGATATCCCAAGCCTATAATACAGACTGCTTGTTGCCAAGAGTGAAACATGGCGGGGGTTCTGTTATGGTTTGGGCAGCCATATCGTGGTTCTCTGCTAGCCCCATGATAACTGTGTCAGGGCACATGACTGCCAAGACTTAACGTGAACATTTTGGCCGATCAAGTTCATCCCATGGTACAAACTTTGTTCCCCGATGGTGATGGTGTCTTCCAAGATGACGAAGCCCCTGTTCACACAGCTCACATTGTCCAGGACTGGTTTTCTGAGCACGAGGATGAGTTGTCCCATCTCCCCTGGCCACCACAGTCACCAGACCTGAATATTATCGAACCTTTGTGGTCTACATTGGAACGGAAAGTGCATTCTCGTTATCCACCGCCAACATCGTTATCTGAACTTGCCACCGTTTTGCAGGAAGAATGGTATAATATTCCCTTGGCAAACATACAGGAACTGTATTTATCCATTCCGAGAAGACTGCAAGCTGTTTTGGATGCCAACGGGTTTCCTACACCATATTAAGCAAAGAAACATGTTTTTTTTAAAGATGTTTCCATATTTTTGTCCAACCCCTGTATATATCAATTTATGTAATCATGAAAACAAACTAAAGGAATTAAATGATGAAGATAATTATAACACTTATAAAGAAAACACATGAAAATTAGTAAAAATGAAAGTTCTAGCAATCAGAATACTGATGATGGTGTATTAGGGGAAAAAAAAAAAAAAAAAAAAAAAAACTGAATTTTTATAAAAAGAGGTAATTTTTCTTAATGTTTTAAAACGCGGCTAATCTTGTTGTGTTGATTACTTTTAAAAATGACTTGTATTTTTGAGAATCTAAATAAATATTAATATTGAACATCACTCTTCTAGATGATTACCTCCACTGAAAACCAAAATCGTCTGGAGATGTGATTTTTCCAGAAAGGGTTTGCTGTATTGACAAAAACAAATCAACTGTTATGTTTCAAAGGGTGCGTTGTGTATTATGTTTATTTTATGCTTCCTTCTGATTTAATGTTTCAGTATCTTCCAAGGGAAAAATAACTAAAATTAATAAAGTGTTTGCTATCAGCAATGTCAAATGAACACCTGACTGTTTTGTCAATAATATGAATAGAAATAATATTATAGATAATAATTATATATGAATGGTCTAGTTAAGAGGTTTTGTTACTACTAAAATTTATGAGGATCACTATATAATAAATGACATCACATATACTAATTTCAATTCTAAAATTCTGAAATTTGTTACAGGTGGTGATATATTGTGATTTTTTGCTTTACGCTCTGGGAAAATAAAAAAAAAAACTTTGTGAAAATATCTTATATTTACTTTGTGGACATATCTTTATATTTAATGTAATAAATAAGTAATAAATTTTCAAAAGTAATTTAATTTTTATTTGGAAACTTTGTGAAAACGTGTAGAAATAGAATGTTGCTCAATACATTTAGAAAATTATACATTCTGGGAAATAGAAGTTTTAAAAAATCTAGGTTATTAGTCTGTTACTCATTACACAATTCTATTGGCAGCTCATTTAGTCATTTTTTTCTCATTAAAATTTGACAGCCTACTTTTTATGGGAATTTGAGTTTAGAGAGAAAGGACTGATCAGTGGGATGATTAACTAGTGTTTACATTTTAAGGCTACAAGAAATTATATTCGTACAGTATTGAAAAGTCCTTTTTTCATTATTTTAACCTTTTGTTGGTTGATTTTGTTTTCGAGTTGGGGTTAATGAATGTATGAAAAGTAATGCTGAATAAAAATTTGTAAAAAGGCTGGATATGATTATGTTTTATTAAAGGAATGATAAAATGAAATTTTTTAACAGAGTTCAGGTTAAAATGATAGCTGAATCCTGAATTTGGGGTTAAAGGATATAGAAGGGAAAGAATTGTTAATTGTGGCTTGTAATAGTGACAAAGCATTATATAATCACTCTAGAATAAGAATTGCAAATTTTCAACAATGAGTGTTGTATTTTCATTTTATCTGCTTTCAGTCAGTTGTGATAGAGTGATATACAAGAGCTGTGGTATTATTTGTTTATCTTTGCTATTAATACGCACGCTTTGAATCTAAAGTGTTTTTAAAGCGACTGTCTTAAAGGTTTTAGCAGTTTCATGATATTTAATATGTCTGCATCTTTTCTGTAATTCATTGTCACTTCTGTATTTTCTTGCCTGGATTAAAAAACAATGGAATATAAATTATTGATTATAAAAGTACCATATGTTAATCTTTTGTTAATTTTGCATAGTAATATTGTTCGCCAATGAATCAATGTTTTAATACCTATTTAGTTTTATTCTTAAGCAAGTAATTTCTTTCTTTGTATCCTTTTCAGGGGCGTTTGTAGGCAAGCTTCCTCTTACAGATATTTCCTTAAGGAATTTTTTACTTGATACTTTTAGAATACCATATTGCTACACGTAGAATACCATATTGCTACACGTAGAATACCATATTGCTACATGTGTACAGTGTCTCAATATTGTTAATGTATACGTAAAGAACAAGTATTAAGTGGCATGCAGTTTTGAATACATGTTGGTATCTACTGATATATAAAATAATGTACAATTTTCCTTCACATATAATTGAGTTTATGGATCCAGGTATTTGAAAAAATGTATTCTTGTTTTTTTGTTTTACTTTAAAATAGATTTTATGAAAAATATGTGTGAAATTGGTTTTAATAATTTTTGTGAAGGTATTCATGTATGATATGCCCAAATGTATACATTGGGCAAACCTATTAACTTTTCATTCACTCATCATTTGAAAAAAAGGGATATTTTATGAAATTTTGTATGTTCATTTGTTAAAGACTACTAATTATTATATATTTTCAGTTATTTATTGCACATTTTGAGCTGGGATCGTAAAATTGTAGAAAATCAAGAAAGGTTTCTGTTGTGTTTCAATGAAGGAAGAAGAATGTATTTAAAATGGCTTTAAATGGAATAATTTTTAGAGTACAATTTCATGCTTTGAAAGCACAAATCAAGGCTTTTTAGATGAAGGGGGAGTATTGAATTTATGTGGGGAACTGGAACAGTGATGTAAACTAAATAGTACACCAGATAACATAAAAGTACCAAAAATGAGAAAATTCATTATAAATAGAACTATTTTGTACTAGAAAGATGTCCAGAAAATTAGCACATAAAGACACTGTGTACAAATATACAGTACAAAGTCCATAATCCGGACTCATCGGGACTTTGGCGATTCCGGATTAGGGGTTTTTCCGGATTATAGATCATCAGTTTAAATTTGGCAAGATGGCATGCAGAAATTATACAATTAAAAATATGAAATCGTAATTTATGAAATAAAGAACAATTATGAACTAAAGGGTATCAAAATTTCCAAAAAAAGCTTAATATTTATTTGTTTACTTTATTAAACATTTCTTTCAATGTAAGTTATTTAAGATGCTTCCACGAAAAATTCAAAAAGTTCCTTTTTCTTGTGTCATATATAGTGGACTTTCCAATGCCATACTTTTCGCATAATTTTGAGAGGGATAAGCCTTTATCCATTTTTTGCAGCAATTCCACTTTTTGTTTAATGGACATTGAAACATGCTTTCGCTTTGTCCTTTGGCGTAGTCCTTTGGCAGCTCCAGAATTGGAAACTCTTTTTGACATAATTGAAAGTTCAAGCTTAATTTTTATAAAATTGTTCTAACAGTCTGCAAAAAATAATAAGGCAGACCAATTAGAAGCTTAAGGAACAGCGCAATCTGCAACATTAACTGAAATGCCTTAGATAATTTTAGCCTAGCTTATACCGTCCATTATACATTAAACGCGATGCGTTTACACATGTGCATAAAGTTTGTAGTTTGGAGGTCCGGATTACAGACTTTGTACTGTATTAGAATGCAGTAGGGTGCAGTACTTTAAGTGTTCACTCCTTAAAATTGTGCTAGTCAAAAAGTGATATGTTTCTTAGGATGTGAATCTCAGCTCAGTTGACTGTCACAGCCATTAATTGAAGCAGTTTTAAGCTATGCATAAATTCATGATGATGTCTCAATGAAAAGTAGATTGAGAAATCAAGCTACCAATCTGTGCATATCATGTATATTGCATTCACATGAGAATTAAAATTTTCTCTATTCATCTCATTTTTTTTACTCATTTGTATCAGTACTCAGATATGTCTGCATCCATTTAAAGAAAAACTACCCCATATACACTATAGGGTTTTTCTTTGATGAATATTTCTGAGATGTTGGTTACCTGATTCTCTTTATATCAATATCCACATTCCCTGTGCAAATAAATCTGGTCATATTTATGGGGAGCAGACCTCATTTGGGTTGATTGTTGGCTGTGCGTCTAAAGCCAGGAAAAATACCTGTAGGTTATGTGTGGATCTGTTCATATTGTTAGAAGAGCTATGTTTTGACTGTTTTTCTTATGTGTAAGGGCCGAGCAGTAAAGTCACTGAACACTGGTAGTTTGGCTTGACTTCCATGTGGAGAGGCTGGCTGCATGGTCACTTTTGGGTTTTCCCCCATGTTTAAAGGGGATGCAGTCAAAAGTCGTTAATTCGGACACCCATAATCCGGACCTCAAAGCTAAAAACTTTTTGCGCATGCGCCGCGTTGGCACATGCACACAGGCGTTTTACGCGTGCACGTAAGACCTTGACGACTGCGCAAATGCGTGTGCGCAAGTGCAGAATACGTTTTCGCCTGCGCGTTTAATGTATAACGGACGGTGTAAGCTAAAATTATCTAATTATCTATTTCAGTTAATGTTAATGATTGTGTTGTTCCTTAATCTTCGAATTGGATCCCGCTTATTATTTTTTGCAGACTTTAAGAGCAATTTTATAAAAGTAAACTTGAAATTTCAATTATGTCAAATAGAATTTCCGATGTTGAAACTTCCAAAGGATATACAAAACGAAAGTATGTTTCGATGTCCATCAAACAAAAAGTGGAATTGCTTCAAAAAATGGATAAAGGCATACCCGTCTCAAAGTTATGCAAGGAATATAACATTGGAAAGTTAAACTGTATATGACATAAGAAAAAGAAAAAGGAACTTTTTGATTTTTTTTGTGGATTCCGACACCCCACTTGCAATGAATAACAGAAAAAGGGTTCATTATGCTAAAAGTGATGATTGAATGGGTCAGACAGTGTTGCAGCGATCGCGTGCCATTGACGGGTCCAATGGTAATGGCTCAAGCCAAAATATTTCATGAAGAAATGAACTTAAACGGAGAGTGCACATATTCGACAGGTTGGTTAACAAAATTTAAAAATCGCCATGGTATAAGACATTTAAAAATTTCTGGTGAAAAATCTTCAGCTGATACTGAAGCTGCTGAACAATTTGCAGATGAATTCATTGAACTCATCAAAGGCATAGCTAAGATTTTAAGTGCCCGAGGACACCTAAAGATTTTGCGCCCCTTTCTGTGTTCCAAGAATGGGAAACATTTCATTCTGAAATGTGTATCATCAGTTTGCTGCCCCCTGGATGCTATGCCCGGGGACGGATGTCCCCCCTCTCCCCACCCTAGCAGTGCCCCTGGAACTCATTACTAGTGAACAATTATCTCCAGAACAAACTTACAATGCTGATGAAATGGTCTTTTCTGGCAATATGTACCGCGAAATACCTTGGCAACCTCTACAGAAAAGGCTCCAATTGGTGTCAAAGATTGCCAAAGCAAGACTAACAATTTTAGCGTGCGCAAATGCTGCAGGAACGCACAAGGTGCAAACTTTTTGTAATCGGAAAACATTCACGACCTCGACCGTTTAAAAGGAGTAACGATTTTCCCCGTTATATATATCGTGCAAATAAAAGAGCATGGATGACACAAGTGTTGATGAATGATTGGTTTGAAAATCATTTTATACCCGAGGCTCGGCGACATTTGAATTCGGTTGGTTTACCTGATGACTCAAAAATAGTTCTGATTGTTGATAACTGTTCGGCGCATACTTCACTTAAAGTTTTAGTGAAAGATAATGTATCCGTGTTATTCTTCCCTCCAAATTGTACGTCACCATATGGGGCATTCTTTGTTTACATTCAGAAGCTCGCTTGACAAGATTCTGATAGTATTTCGACACACGACAGTTCCATAGAAATCGAAAAAAGGGACACTTTCGCATGAAAGAAACATTCATAGTGTGATTGATAATAGCAATTTGTAAAGTTTAGTGACATTTACGCAAAAATCACATCTTGGTTATTTTTCGATAACTAACAACAGCGATTTTGATTATGAATTTGTTTTATAAAATTATAAGCTGTTGCACTACAAAAATATAGATTTTAAGAAAAATGTTATGCTTAAAGAATGAAAAATACCTTACGGTACATTTAAAATTGTATACGTCTTTTGATACCCTTGATAGAGTATTCGCTACTTTTATTTTATTTTACAAACGTCAAAATGTTTTAAATAAAACAAATTTTTTTCACATTCATATATTATTGTAACATATACCTTTTAAAATTTTTTAGAGGAGCGGCTTTACTGCTGCTCATTTTAAACCCATCGTTTTAATTTTTATATATATGAAAAATAATCACTTTGGGCTTACACGTTTTATAAATATAAAATTATGTATGTTAAAATATTTGTAATTAGGCACATAGGTCAGATTAAGTTTTTATTAAATAGAGTAACGCATGCAAGGGGCTATCTCCCTAAAGAGAGAGATGCCATCGTGGAGAAATTTTGAAGAAAACTGACCTTTGAGTGGGGTATTAAAAATAATACTTATAATTTTCATTCAAATTATATTCATATATATTTTTTATGTAAAAACTTTTCGGGTGTATATGCTAAATTAGTGTAAATTACTTTACACGAAAAATATAGTGAATGCACAGAAATTAAAGATTTGCACATGCCGGAAATGATAAATAGGAAATATGAATGGGTATTTATGCATGTGCTTGCAAAAAACATGTATCTGCCTTTGACAAAATACTTAAATATTCATTAAATTTATAAATGTATTTGAAATGAAGAATTTATTCACTTATAAACAACTGTGAAAGTGCTGTGAAGAAATCTAATTATTAAATGTATCTAATTTATAATGATTATAAATGTTATCTAAATATATAATAACCTTAATATTGAATTGTAAACATAAATTGAAATCCTGTTGACAAGTACGTTATAAAACTATTTAAGCAAGAATTGTTCATATTGGAAAGCAATCTGTTAAAAGGTATTGGAAAGCAAATGCTATGGAGATGCGCACTTAAGAACGTATTAAAGAGTTTTGGAATATGTATTGTTGAAATGAAGGGTAAAAAAAAATCTGATAAGTATAATTAAAAGAATTATTCCCCTTACATTTTATAATAACTCAGTTACAAGTTTTAAATAATACTTGAAAAAAAATTTATTTTATTCCCTTTCAGAAATGTTCAGAAAAAGTCAAGTACTATTTAATATCTATTTAATTATTAGGAATTAGCGAAATACTTATTTAAAGTGTTTCTCTAATTCCTAATAATTCTCTAATTTAAAGTGAACCGTATAGAGCATTAATTATAAATTGACTTACGTTTTTTGATTCAAAAGATACCTCAGAATCCAAAAAATCATGTCATATTTAAGAAAGTATTTTAGGAAGAAGCTCTATAAATAGAAAAGAAATAATGCATAATTTTAATATTAATAATACAATAAACTTTGATCTTAATTTTTGTACCTTAACCGAATAAATCGAATTACCTTATTTTTTTTTCCTAATGTAATTAACGAAAACTTGTGAAAATATTTCATTCAAATTAAACCATTCTGAGAAAACTGTCCTGTGAAAAGTATAGCATTTAATTCCGTTCAGAATGAAATGATGTTTAAAAATATGTTGTTTTCACATACTAAGGACTCTGAAGTGTTGTAGAAAAAGAAAATATATACATTTATATGTATATTTACGATGTAATTACAAAATATTTACATCCGATCTTAATGGTAAATGACCCAATGTTTTGGTCACCACGTAGCGATCGCCAGTGCTTCAGAGCAGGGTACGGGAGAAACTGGTTTAGGGCGACTCCATCTTACTTCCTACCTCCATGCATATTTCATGGTGAGGAGGATGAAGATGATAGCCGCGAATTTGAAGGTTTTGGGGCATCGCAAACTAAAGGTGAAATTTTTCAGTTATTGGATTTTGTAAAGAAATGTGGTAATAAATGAAAGATGATATAAGAGAAGTTTTTCATTGCGACGACAGTGCCCCAATCATCAATCATTTAGCGGACAGTAAAATCCGTAGTATGGTTCTAGATCCAGAAAATATCGCTTCCGATAGTGAAGAAAGTGACACAGACGTTATCGAAAACGAAACAATTTCGATTGACAAATTAGTCGATATTCTCGACACCGCAATTATAGGACTTGAACAGCGGAACTTTGTAACTGAACAAGAAATTATGTCTGTTTATAGAATTAAAGAGAAAGTATTATCACATAAAACGAAACAACTTAAACAACTTACATTGATAGAAATGTTTAATAAAGTAAACAAATAAATATTAAGCTTTTTTTTTTTTTTTTGTAAATTTTGTTACCCTTTAGATCATAATTGTTCTTTATTTCATAAATTACAGTTTCATATTTTTAATTTTTGAATTTCTTCATGCCATCTTACGAGATTTAAACTGATGATCTATAATCCGGAAAAAACGATAATCCGGAATCGCCGAAGTCCCGACGAGTCCGGATTAACGACTTTTGACTGTACAAACCAGTTTCCCTTAGAAAGTCCTTTACAAAGGCATCCCTTTCCTTAAGCAGAAAGCCATAATCAACTAAGCCAAACCAAAAATGTCCTTCAGCAAGGTAGTTTTGTAGAGACATTAGGTATATTTTTGGAAGCAGGAAAGATGAAAACTTAGCAACGGGTTCACCAGGAATCGAACCGTGGACCTCTGGAATACCAGCCCAGCGTGCAGAACCAGTACACCATGAAGGCATGCTAGGAAGGTTGGAGAAATACCCCTTTAGTTTCATAAGAAAATGTAGTGTTCTTTGCCGTTATGATCAAGTTCATTCCTTTGTGGTCATGCCATTGCAATCATTCTGTGTATAATATAAAATGAATGCACATAGAAGTTCCAAGCTGCCAAGTGTACAGAACTTGTTTGTTATCCCATTATTGTAAATGTAAACTGATCTTTTATTCCTAGTGGCTGTATCAGAACAAGAGTTATATTTGATTTGAAGAAGAGAGTCTACTCTTTCTATTATTGTTCTTATTCATAGCTTGTAACTTTGCATTATTGTTAATCAATATTGGAGATGTGGAATGCATGTTTAGAAATTGATTCCACTGTCTGAACCACTAAAGGGCTTGCATTCAGCCCTTGTGCTATGTATGACTAACTTTAGCTTACCTTGAGCTGTCGAAGGAGTAAAGCTCTTCACAGCTGTTTATATATTAAAATGACTGTCACAGATTTTTGTATTCACATTTGAGAGCTGCGTATCTTTCAGGGATGTTCTGTAAGTGCTGTTCTATCACTTCGTACTTAATCACGAGCGCTTTCCCTCCAGAAGGTTATGCAGATTTTGAGAAAAGGGTATGCAAAATGATTCTCTGTTCAAAGCATTAATCAAGCTATGTTGTAGTTCTAGCTATATTGTAGTTCTGGTGAGGAGAAGATTCAGTTCTTGTTCACATTTAGAAATCGACGCTGCAGAAGAGAATATGTGGTAGAGGTGTCATGATGCATAAAAGATCTTAGCAGTCATGACCATTCCTGCACTTTTATCTCTTAAGAAGCAGTTTTTAACATGAATTGTGCAGTACAGTCTTTGTGCTTATTCTTGATCACATTTGTGCCCTTTTGGTTAAAGCATTGTGTAAATATGTGTTTCATTAGTGTTTTGCATGAATTATGTGACATGGACTAATTTTGAAAATTAAAAATGGAATTTTGATTTACTTTTTTTTTTATCTTACATATGTACTGTTGTATACTATATATGTTTTATGCCATTCCCATGTATTGTAAATTAATAATGCCTGTTTTTCTTTCTATAGAATTATGCTGAGGATTACTTTCTTTGAGGTTATGCAAGCTACAGCTACATAAATCCATGAATATTTACACATCTGGAGTCAGCTAATGGTAAATCGTGAAAACATGCTGTAGTTTCTTTCTTAGAAATATATCCTTTTTTGCTTTCTTCTAGAATATAATATTTATATAGGAGTTTACTAATTTTAAAACTTTTAATTTTGTTGATTGCAAGGTAATTGTTTGGCATGTGTGATGATTTGATTGTCATATTCTTTCGTATATTAATCTTTATTCAGATGTGATTTTGAAAAAGGTATTTATGGATTTAAAGTTGGCAGAAATTTTACCAAAGTTGCTTCAGTTATTTTGGTGGAAGTTTGAAGGAACAGATCACTCTTTAATTAGATAACCAACAAGTCATGAATATAGCATATGAACGCGCAGTTTTTCACATTGCACCATTGTTATCCATTTTTAAATAAAATCCTATATCATATTCATTAACACGCGTATTTTTTTATGCCAGTATATCAAATTTTAACCATTTTTTTAAAACTACAAGGGGAAACTGATGAAATAGCACTTAATTTATAACCATCTTTACAAAAACTAAACTGGTTTACTAAGGATTAATTTGGATTACATTAATCAGAGGCAAAGTTTTGAAAGCATTATAGAACTATGCTTTTCACTTTTTAGTGCGAAATCACATTTCAAAGTGTCAGTTTTTGCGTGTCAAAAATGGTTGATGAGAATGTAAATAACTATCACAAAAACATAAATGTGTTGCGATACTTTTTTTCTGTAGTTTTTCACATGAAAATTTTGATTGGCTGTTTTATGTAGCTGTGTCAAGTAAATATTGTTGTTTTAATGAATAATATATTCATCTTTATGCTTGAAATGAAAACATTTTGTTCCTGAAGTTAAAACAGAGATATCCGAGTGCAAGCTTTTTGTTTGTGTAGCTTACACTCAGATATCTATAGCCTGCATATGAGGTCTTTATCTGCAGCATGCAACTAAGCTAACAAAATTTATAATTATTGACTAAATTTCTGAATATATATTTTTATAGTTCTGATAATTTCTTTGCCAACATTTCTGCACCACTCGTTTTGGTGATTCTGTGCCCAACTTTAAACAAAGTGAAACTGACTTTGTACAGGGTACAGTTATAAGCTATTTCTTCCACTTCCCTAGTGTGCCTTCGTGGTGTAGTGGTTCAGCACGCTGGGCCGGTATTCCAGAGGTCCGTGGTTTGATTCCTGGCGAAGGCGGTTGCATACTTTTCATCTTTTCTGCTTCCAATTAACCTAATGACTCTACAAGTGGTGCCCGAACTGAAAGGGTTGTGGATGATGATTCTCCGCACCCAGGATTTGGCGACTAGGTCCCCTAAAACCCTAGTCGCTCTTTCAAAAGGGGAGTATATAAGGTATTTCTCCCACTCCCCTAGCATGCCTTCATGGTGTAGTGGTTCCGCACGCTGGGCCGGTATTCCAGAGGTCCGTGGTTCGATTCCTGGTGAAGACGGTTGCATATTTTTCATCTCTCTGGCTTCCAAAAAATCCTAATGTCTCTACACAGTGATCAGCCCTATTTTATTTAATATGTTTATTAATGACCTATCGAGTATCTTGACTTCTGACGGCTTGACCAACGCTGCTCTTTTTGCAGATGATCTTGCTATATGGTGCTGTGCAACTTAAAGATAATCAATCCAAGCTGAACACTGTCCTGAATAAGTCTTTTGAGAGGCTGGAGAGTTGGAGTTTGGTGAATAATATGACTATAAACTTGGAGAAGACTACCAGTCGGTATTTTATTTTAGACAGCTTTCATTTCTGATCTTGTTTATACAGGTTCTCCCTTGCAGCATAATGATGTTTCAACTTATTTAGGTTGCATCTTTGATAACAAATTGTTGCCTAAGCATGTTGATTATGTCATCTAAAAAGTCAGGAAGAGACACCCCTTCTTAAGAGACTAGCTGGTGCTAAATGGGGATGTGGAGAGTTATTCTTAACACTACTTTTAAGACTTATGTCCAGCAGGTTTTAAATTATTGCAATGAAGTCTGGTTTCTGCCTCAGATAGAGTCTTGAGTATGCATGATATTTTCTGAAACCAAGCTTTATGCTTGATCACTGGAGGTGTTAAAACTACTTCTGTATTTCCTATGCATTTGCTTTATGACCTGCAGCCAATGACTAACCTAGTTCAGAGGAATGCATCTATACTTGATAGTAGACTTCCTAGACTTTGAAATATTTCTATTTGGCAGGAATGCTATTGTAACAGAGTATGTAATCTAAAGACTCAGAAGGGCTTCATTCAATGTACCCAAAAGAATGCTCAATATAATGCCATTAACAATATGAACTGTTAACTCTCATAAATGTACTGGTGTTTATGGTTCTCGATGTCAGATTGGATTTGAGAATGGGAGAAAAAATGACCTATTCACAACTGCTCTTTGTGCCATAGCTTTGGAAACCATTATACTCACTATTCTCCTGGTGAATGGCTTCATATTTACACTGAGGTTCCCTTTTAGATTTCACCCCGGGCAGTGGTGCTGGTGTCTTCTGTGATCTGTTTTCCTTTTACCTTCATGTTGGCTCTCATACAACCCATTTTGACGGTAAGGTCGAGGCTATCTATTTGGCCCGTCAACAGCTTTTTGCCCGTCTCTCTTCTCTTGATAGGGTTTTAATTTTATCGGACTCAAGTTCTGTTCTTCAGGCAGGCCTTAGCAAGTAACCTAATAAAACAAAGTGCTCGTTACCAGAGCTACAGGGAGTTGTTGAGCAGAATTCAGACAAAAGTTGCTTTCCAGTGGGTACCATCACATTGTGGCCTTTGGGGAAATGAGATGGCGGACCTTTTGGCAAAAAATGGTACCGATATCCTCCAAAAGTCTTTCAGAGACCTATCTCTTCACTGTGCTAAACTTGAAATAAATAGGATTTATAAAAAAAATCATTTTGTAATGCTGCTGTTAGTGCTACTGAAAATAAGTCATGGAGGGTGCTATTAAAAACCTACTGCGTCTCGGACTCTGCTTGTGCTACTGCTGTGTCTGAGTTTATACTATTGAGGATATGACTGCCTTTGCTCATTTGTTTCGTTTTAATCTGACTGTCTAACCTTTATGTGCTTTGTGTGATTCTGGACAAATCATGGATGCTATGTGCTTTGTGTGATTCTGGACAAGTCATTGATGCTGCTCATCTGGACATGTGCTCTGCACTTAAGAGTTTGGACTGTATTGTAAAGAAGTATTGGAGAGCCCGTTGCCTAATGACCTTGATGATGAATGGCGAGGCATTTGATAAGTAAAATAGTTCTGATCATTTCATCACTGTCTTCATACAAATATTATTTGAAATTAAAAGCACAAGTATTTTTAAATAAATGGTTTTTTTTCCAATGGCAGGCACTTGCTTATGCCAGAATCAGCCTCTCCTAAGGCCAGATATGGTGACCTCTTTATTAGGGAGGCACCTAATATTATTCCAGGACATCATTCCAAATACTTGCTAACCATAGCATATTGTGTAGCCTCAAAACACAAATTATTTTTTAAGTGTACAGTACTTGGCTGCTACTGGTATATTTTATTAGTATTTTTATTCTGCATTGAGATAACTTACACTCACTTCCAAAAGTTAAACATGCAATGGTAAAATCAACAAAAATCAAAAAGTAACACCAAATTGTACATGAAGGTAGCAAATGTATTTATGCATTAAAAAAACAAGTGTTACATGCAAAGATGAATACAATATTTAATTTTCATAAATTATATGATGATTGTGCATATGGATCATTAAAGGAACTGAAGCTAAAGACAAGATAGCAAAATTTACTTTAATAAGGTACACAACCATCCTGGACTTTCACACTAGTATTACAGCTATTGCCTTTGCTTTCAATGAGATAATCAACCATTGCAGATGCTATAAATGGCCATTTCTCCATTAGGGCAGCTTCCATCTGAGATTGGCTGGAGGAGGTAAACATGTAGAGAAGGCAGACCCGAAGCATCTCAAAGATTTTCAGTGTTATTAAAGTTGGGGGGATTACAGTGACTACTCCATATGAGAAATGCTCTCACTCTCCTGATACTCATTAATGATGTTGGCTTGATGGGAATGGCATTATCATCCATAAGGAGGATATCAGAATCAAATAAGTACTGCAGCAGAGTTTCATAATAGGGTATAGAGCTCTATTCTGACACTGTGCAGTAATCACAGAACCATCTCTTTAAAGATGTGCGACTGGCTGCGATATTCCATTGAAATTCCAACCTGCAATGATGCTGCCATCTTTGAATGTGTGACATTCAATGATATTCTGGATCTGATTCCATGTGCTGCTTTTTGTCCTGACCCTTACATGCATATCTGATTCCAGGACAAAGTGGATCTTATCCATGAACAGAAAGCTGTGCCAATCCGAGATAATTTGATTGAGATATTGAGGACACCATTTTTATCTTGAGCCAAGATTAGGCAGTTAGTTGAATATGGTCTTACCAAGTGACAGTACAGCTGTGAATGTAACAGTTGTGGAGGTCATTCTTCGATTCTGCTTGGCTGTTATAGCAATATACAAATCTTCAGAAGAAGTGGTTTGGTAGACTGGGCCCAGGTGTCTAGATGACTTATTTGGAATTGCTTCGACACTGGGCAGATAACAATGAGTTGAGGAAAAAAACATTTGATTTACTGTCCTGCTTCAATATGTCCGACAGCATGCCAGCACTTTCTGTTTGTCATTCATCTTCTTTCATAGAAACACATATATTGTGAAAAATTATTCTGTAAAAGTTATAAACACTTTGTATCAGCATTTAAATGAACCTTCTCCAACCCTTCAGAGTGCTGGCAACGACTGTCTAGTTAGCATGTGTTGGGATAGTTAATCATGATTGGCTGTTTAACCACTTGCGCTAAAAAGACACGTCGAGATGCTTTTGTCTCAAACCGCGAGAGATGTGAACACCACGTCGATAGGCATTTATCGTAAAAATGAAAATAACACGGTGCACACGTTGCCTAACAACGAGATTGTTTATTTCTCGAGTTACAGCTATGGATTGCACTCACAGACGCGGAGCGGCGTAAATGAGACACTTTACCGTTTCTTATATTGTAGCGCACGGCACCGCAACCGTGAAGTTTAGTCATAGCGCAAGTGGTTAACATTCAGTATCTGTGTACTGACATATACATCCATAGCAATTTTCAGCCACTGAAATTCAACTATGCTTTTGAAAATTGCTGAATTGCCAGGATAAAATAGCACATTCAAACATTAGAGGTATGTTTTGACAATATTTGCAAGATTTTTAGACATTTCTTGAATATTTAATTAATTGTGTTGATTTATTTTTTGAAGATAATCATTACAATAAAATATTGGGTGGTCCTGAGGCATGAGGCTTGTCTATGCTTCTCACTCTGTTGTTGCTGGCTCATGTTGCCATATATTTTTAGCACTGGTGAGAAGTACTGTGTCCTGATGTTATTGGTGACATTATATGACCTTGAAATTTGATCCTGAATCTGTTACATCGTAGTCGGATATTTACCATTATTGCAAAAGAGCTGTTGTGCAGTAGATTTTGATATTTGAAATGCTTCGTGGTACAAACATCTGTTTAGTTGTCATGATCGCTATAGTATTAAACATTTTCATAATCATTGTATTTGTAACTGCTCATAAAATATATATATTCTCTAAGTTTTCAGTAATTATAACTTATCTTTAGTGATGTCTATTATCCTTTCATGTAGTCTTTATCTCTTTTATATGGTTTGTGTACATAATCTAGTTCTGTTTTATATTTTGCTGCCTTATTTTCTTTAACGATCTTAGAATCACTTTCATGATCTGAAGGGTATGAAAATGAGCAGAGAATAAAGTAAATGATTGCTAAAGACAGAGTAATAAATGTTATGGAAATATTGCTTACTGCATGTGACTTAGGTTTGATAGTACGAAAGGTTCTGTTTTAAATATGAAAGTTAGGAAGAAATACCATGTTCTGTAGAAGTTTACTAAGTATATAGCGAAGTAGCTATATTCTGGAATTCTGTCTTGGTTTTTTTTTTTTTTTTTTTTTTTTTTTTTTTCAGCTATCGCAGAGCAGTGTTTTAATCTATGTAAAGAGAAGAAAGAATTAGACAGCTAGAGTTTTGAAACAGTTCTGTTATTGAGTGAAAGAAAAATGAAAAGTAAAGCAAAGAAAAGTGAAAAGTAAAGCGGTCATCTATTTTTGAGTGAAAAACTGTGAAAATACAGAAGAATTGAATCAAATATTTTGGTAGAAATTAAAAATTTATGCTGTGTCAGTGTAGAACAGAAGATTATTTAAAAAATGTGTATTTTGAGAATTTGAATTCCTCTTGATTTAACTACTTATTCCTATATGAAGCATAACAGGCTTAGTTTAAACAAAGATTGTGTCATTAGAAACAGTTTTAAATATTAAACTAATAATAGTGATCAGCAATAACCCTAATCATTGGCCAGTGCATGAGCAGCAGCAAATGAGTTATGTGGGAATATTTATTTGGAATTCAGGTAAGCTTAGAATGTGAGGAAAGTAGCTGAAAGTATAATATATAAATAAAATAATTCAGGTTTAATTTTGTCAATATTCTATAGAAGCAAAGCACAGTTTACGGTTGTGTCGTTAGAAACAGTTTTAAATATTAAACTGATATTAATGATAATAAGCAATTCAGCTTTAGATTTTCAAGTGGTCTTTAAAACAAAATCTTATGTATCTTTATAATCTGCTGTGAAAAAAGGAAATCATCAGCTATTAACATATTTGTCTTTTTAAATCTGTTGAGCCTTAAAAGTTGTTGAAAACTTTTATAAGTCTGAAGTAATCTAAAAGGGATAAAATTTCATTAAAAATACATAAAAGTCAGTATTAATGCAGCTGGCAGTTATCAAGGGATATTAAAAAGGTGTTAATGCAGTATAGCTTGGACGAAAGTTGATTTTAATTTATTGAAAAGAAATCCAATTGTCATGTTTTAATCTGCTTAACATGTACAAGAAGTTTCCATTTAGGAATTTTATTGAAAATTATATTGTTTAATGAAAATCCTTTTTGGAGCTCAGTATGCCAATATTTTATAAATAGTTCTAAGACAGATAGATAGCTGCAATATCTTCCATACCATTCAAGGCTGCCTCCAGAGACAATGCAACCGATGGGGCAACTCTAGGCGGCAGAATTTAGGGATGGCAAAATTTTTAGAATTTAGGAGAAGCTGGAAGCAGCTACATTTTTAGAATTTAGGAAGATCACTGGATAGTAGAAATTAGGATCTGCCAAGATTGCACTGGGCAACAAAATATTTAGCTCCATCCCTGGTACCACTACCCCGTTTTAGCCTTTTGATATAAGAGGAAAGACACTGCTGCAGTAACTTTAACACTGTAAAGTAATATTTCTGCTAAAATGCTTGGGATATGATGCAATGATATATTATTTTTAAGAAATGAGAGTATTAATGTTTGTAATGATTATTTATAGCAGGATATGAGAATTATAAAATAAACTGATTTCATACATAATATCTAATTTTTATATTGTTACAATTTCATCTGGGAAAACTTTTTCCAGATTGTAGTCTTCCATTTCTCTTCTGTTTTTGCATTGATCTGCTCTAGAATTTTGATTTGGGCATTCATTCGCCCCTCCTTTAAATCCTAATATACTTTTAATAGAATTTATGGTATTGTGCAAGAAATATGTTCTTCAAAGAATTCTATTGCTTTTCCATTGCCATTCATATTACCTCATAGTAAAGGATATAGCAGAATTTCCCACATTGTGGGCATAAAAACTTTGAAGTTTTTGCTTTGCTGTATAACTATAAATATTTGTTTATAGTTAATTTATGGGTATTAACTGATCATTAATAATTACTGTATTGCATTTTCCCTCACTTCCAGTTTTACTTAATTTGTCTCTTGACTACTGAGAGGGGAAAATTATGTGTATTTTATTTCTGAGGAAAGGAGTTAAATTCATCGGGTTAAAATGTGCATATGACTAGCTGAGCTATTGTATTTTATATTTTGAAGAATTTGATTATAGTTATTGAAATTATTCTTTTTTACTTCAACCTTATACTTTGCTTTCCATCCTTGCTTTACATGCTGCTGCCATGAATTGAAAATTTCCAAATTGTACATTGAAAAAGCTAGAGGAAAAGTACGTGAGTAGGTATTGTGCATGTGTGTATGTTATTGTTTCATTTATTACATTATTTTCTTATAAGTTTTCCTTTTCTCACTGTTTTCTTTTCCTTCAGGGCAACAAGTGTATGCAGGTGGACTGTGATACTTTACAGCTATGTGCAAATGTCTAGAGGTATTCTTCGATATCCAGGGCAGTGCGACATCTGAAATTTATCTCTGAAGAACGCACTGTGAACAAAGAACTCTGCATCAAAATCCTGCATCGTTTGCATGAGTCATTCCGGAAGAAGAGACAAAAAATTTGGGCTGAGCAGTCATGGGTGTTATTGCATGACAATGCTCCTGTTCAATGATCCCTACTCATCAATGTCTTTCTTGGGAAAACAACTGTTTTGCTTCATCCTCCTTACTCACCTGATCCCGCACCCTGCGATTTCTTCCTATTTCCTGAACTGGCAAAACGCCGATTTCAATCTTCAGGTGAAATTAAATGTGCATTAATGAAAGAAAGTGCATTAAATGTTAATTCTAATCTTTTTTGGGATTTTGCTTTTGCTATTGGAGTAGTGTTTGAAATTGACTATCACAGTATCTGATATTAAACCTTGATTTTTTCCATCCTGTAGTGATATCCCCAGGATTCTGTCATGTACCATAACTACGTCTAGATCTGCCAGAATCAGGATAGTGTATTTAAGCACTATTTAACCATCCACATAGGCTTACTGCAGTATATATCAAAAGAACTTGATTGTCATCTGAACATAAGTTGTCTGGCTAGTTTGCACATAAAAAATTTCTGAATTTTTCTATTGTGTTGAAAGCTTATATTTGTGCTATTTAAAAGGTAATCTAGACATCTGCAATATAAAATAGGGATTGCTGTTTCAATACTCAGTTAAGATGACATCTGAGTTAACTTTTAAGATCTTATTTATTCTAATATTACTCTAATATAACTGGAGGAAACCGTGTAGCTCAACTCTTGTCAAAAGAATGTTAGTGTTAAGTCAGTGTAAATTCTTCTCTCGAACAAAAAACTGTTCCATCTTTTTTGCCTAGATTTTAAGGCATTATCAGAATAAAAAGGTATGGGCTAAAAAAGGGTATATTATTAGCTATTTCTGCGATTGCTAATCGTGTACTCTAAATCTTGCAATTGTTCTTTAATCACAGTAATTTCTTCATTCTTTTCATAGCCCGTGGCTTTCTGTTGGCAGGTGTCAATTTGGGTAGATAACCTTTGTTTTTGTACTTAAAGATCCTTTATACTTAATTTCTCTATACCAGTGTCTTGAAGTAGCTTCATATATATTTAAAAAAAAAAAAAAAAAAAAAAAAAACTGTTTCAGGTTTGGAGATCTGGATGGCAATCCTGAAAGTAATGGGTTATCAGTCCATTTTTACCAAAGATTTGGAAGTTTGAAGCAGTGTAGCATGAGGCTTCATCCTTCATAAATGACACAAAATCCAATACTTGCCTCTCTTCTAGTTTAAGAATATTGCTTTGTAATGGTCATAATAGCTGGATTAACATAATTCTTAACTGTGAGAGGATCGAATCAAATCTAGTTAAAATGTAGGAACTTATGATCAGGATTTCAAGGTACAGCAACATATAAGATATAATAAAAAAACTAGAATAGTTATTATTTTGAAAATATTCCCTTATATATTTCAAATCAAAACTCCATCACAAATTTGCAAATTTGTTCTTTGCAAATTCACTGGAATGCAAATGTTTTAAGCATTTATAACTTTTGGATCACTTTTGATGTGTGTTAAGCATCAAAATGTGTGAAATCAAATAAGACAGCATGGACAAACTAAGGCCTACAGATGGCATGCAGCCTGTTGCATACTTTTATGTGGTTTACAAGCAGTTTTTCTTAGAAAAGGTTACACTTTTCCATCTTTTAGTGTGTGTGTCTTTAAGTGAAAAAAAAATTGAATTTAAAATACATTTTGAATTTGTCAGCTTGTGAACTATTTTGTAACTTCTAGTTTTCTTCAAATCAAAGTGGATTATGGTAGAACATACATAGCTATTCATGAGTAAAATTTGGCAATTTTTGAAAATTGAAACAAGTTTGTGGGTAATTTTTGATCCATTTTTGATAGAAATTCATAGTGTAATGAGTGTGCTACAACTTTAGATCATAGATCTACAGTGTGATACTGATTTAAGAGAAATGACACATGAAGAATCTGAAGATTTTACAACACACTTAATGCTTTGAAATTTGATAGAAATGATTTTGCTTGAGAAGTGTTTGTTATTTTTGGATCAACCTACATATTTGAACAAACATTTTTTTATTATGAATTTCAGTAAAAAGCATTTTTATGATCCAAACATCACTAATGATCATTTAGAAACAATTTTAAGATCTTCCACTACAAAATTAAAATATGGAATTTAAAAAAAGAGTGGTGAGAGACATAAAATAGTATCATTCTTCCCATTAAATTGTGGGATGTTAGAAATCGATTTATTTTTGTTATAATATAGTTTTTTGTTTATAACAGTTTACACACAGAAATAAATGTTTAACTTGAAACTGATGTGAAAATGTAGTTGAACTTTACATATTTTATACTGCTTAATTGTTTGAAATAAAGTTAGTATTATGGATACGTTAAAAAGTACTCATTCATTTATGGCCCAATATTTTTATCCGAATTATGACCCTTCAGCCAAAAAGTGTTCTAGGCCTGTTGTAGAAAATAAATGTTTGGAAACTTATTGAAGCTTCATCCATTTGAAAATATTTATTAAGGAGGTTATGCTAATATTGTTGAGCCACAATTTGCTAGTCTGTTGTGTGTTATAATTTTCTTTATTTTAGCGTGGGGGACGTATTACATTCAATCTGGTCATGAGTTTACTATATCATGTATTTATTACCATATACTGTAAAAATTTTCCTCTGTTATTTTCTTAACCTATCTAAAATTCCTTTCTGATGCTTTATGAATAAACCAAATAAACAGTAGTGCCTGGTTATATTAGTTTTTTTTTCTTTTTTTCATCTTTTATTTGTAATACAGTATTTTATGGCAACTACACTTTTAGTTTTTTCATCACTAGATATATGCTTTACTTCATTGTATTGTATGTGAAACTGAATGACAGTTAATAATGTTTTATGTAAAATAGTTTTTGATTAATGTCTTAGGAAATAAAATCTTCTAAATAGTACTTTAGTTGGTATTTATTTACAGTACTTAAACTATGCATTTATCTGTGTGTAGAAAAATTCAATGACATTCATGATAAATTGTAGAATAAAATGGAATTCTTATGATATAAATATACTGTATTAAAACACAGAAATATATGTTTGTAAGCATGCACACATGTGCAGAGGCACATTTGTTATTCCCCTGTTTATTAAGCAGAATCTAAATAGATATAAGATAAAAATGCTGATATGAAATTTTAAAAAATAAATAAAATTTAGCTGTGATGTTGATTTAAAGTAAAGGCTTTATGCATTTTAAGAAACAGTCTGATATAGGGGTCTCCCCCTTGATAAACATCAGGATTAAGTAATTTGCATTAAAGAAAACTGCTTGATGCATATTTGTTTTCATTGGGAATATTTTGGTTTTCAAGAGGCTGCTTTATGAAGACTTCTTGAAGTGCACAGAAATAAATGTTTAACTTGAAACTGATGTGAAAATGTAGTTGAACTTTACATATTTTATACTGCTTAATTGTTTGAAATAAAGTTAGTATTATGGATACGTTAAAAAAAGTATTTTTTAAATAAATTAGTTTTTTAATTATTATAATGTTAATGAAGACTGCACTGTTAATATGAGAAGTGTCTATGCAATAAACTAAAAACAGGCTCTTATTTATATTATACATGTGGGAAATCATTAAAGCATTCATGCAGAGAGCCTGCTGCACTGTTGGGAATCAAAGAAGTGTAAGTAATTGTCTTTTATGATAAAACTAATTCACAGTTTGTTTACTTTTGCTAAGAATACAAAGTATTTTATTAATTGTAAACTGCTCTTGTAGACCCCCATTTCTATAAACTAAAAGTTAATTTTTCAGTATTAAAGTGTATACTTGTAATGGGCAAACCTCTTCTGAATCATAAATGAAGTATTGTTTTGTAATGTAAAGTGCTGTTTAAAAAGCACAATTTTTGAAAAGTATTATAATAATCTTTTTTTCCTTCTTTAAAGTTTATAAAGTTTTAAGTTAATAAATTTTAATTCTTTATTTAAAGCAAGTTGAGATGTTTAGATGTTTATAAATGTCAAATTATTAAAGAAATCGGACAGAACACTTTTTTATTCTATTTAATATGGGAACTGTAGGTTGTAATATAGTCATTTATTATTATTAAATCCTGTCAGTGGCTTAATAGGTTCTGTTGAATCAAGAGTACTCTCATTTCTCATGTATTTGCCATAATATTTTACTGTTTTTCATTACATGTGTGCATTTCTTTACCTATAACTTAAATATAAACCATTTTTAATGGAAAGTTCTCAGTAGATGCATTTCCTGTCTTTTGTAAATAGTCCTTGAATGTTAAATTACAAAGTGAAGTATTATATAAAGCAATTAAATAAATATTATAATACCACACTGCATATGTTTCTAAAAGACACTTGCCATAAAAATAATTAGGCTCATTTTAACACGAGAATGCATTTTCTATGCCATTCTGCAACCTGATTTAACAACACATTTAATATGCTGCCAGTCGAACATAGCATTTGTGAGATAAAGTTTCATCTATTGTACATCAAATTATAAATTGGATCCCATATATTATATATGAGAGGAAGTATAAAATATATCTGCAAATTTTTAAATAAATGTTTGATGTCAATTTTCTTTGCAGTTTAAAGGCACACTTACTCTTAGGCATATAGCCCTCATGTGCTTTACTGTATTTGATTAAACAAGCCATGTGAGAGTTAGATTTCCATTTTTAAGGTGGTAAAAGTTGCTGTACATCACAAATTACAATATCACGTGCATAATACTGGTTGTTTCTGAATGGCTAAAATCACTAAGCATTGGTAGTTACATCAGGTTTTGTTCCCAGTGGTGAAAAAAGCTAGCTGCATAAATTTTTATGGAACTTTCTTAATGTATAAAATGAACACTTGTCAGTTTCCCTTTAAATCTCTTATACAAATGCATCTCTACATTAGGCAAATACCACACAATATGCTTTGCTTAGTCTTCATGATTAGTTGCATTTACTGGCAGTAATGGGTATCTGGGAAATGCCTTCACAATAAATTCTTATTCATTCACCATTATTACCACCAAATTATACCACCATTGTGACAAATCATTTGAATCAGACCCAGGAGGAAAAAGACGATACAGTCAAATCAGCTGTTACTCCAGCAGCATAGTAAAGCAGTAGAGCTCAAAACTGTTAACATCTTACTAATGATATTACAAAAAACTGTGTCTGGATCACATTTGGAGAATCGAATAGTATGTTAGAAAGCTAGTAGTTTTCATTCCTTTTATACTGCTACAGTAAATATTTATTTTAGGTATAGCATACAAGAGCAGTTTATCTAAGTTTCAGCTCAGTTTAGCCAAGAGTCCGTCATTAAGTAGAATGAAATAATCTTGTACTACTCTTTGCCAATGTTTTGAGAGGATATTTGGCTCGCTCAGTTTTAAAGGCTTATGTGAAGAAAATAGCTATATCTTATCAAAAATTTGAACCTAAACTCAATACCATTGGAATCTGTGTATTGACTAGCATACTCCGATGCGTTACAGCAAAGAATTTAAAGAGTGCATTTGCTATTCACTCAAAGACTCATTTTGGTTTGGCAACTTATTTATAGTTGTTCGTATTTGGAAAAAACATTGAGCTCACAACCATACTTCATACCATTAGGAAGCAGATCCACTGTTAATGAATGGAGCTAAAAATACTGAATGGACAGCTCATATTGTTTAAGATTCCATGCCACATTGAAGGAAAGAAATAAGATACTTTATAAATTGATATGACTTATTTTAGTTTTGAGCACTTCATGTAAAATTTTTAAGTTATTACAACGTAAGAGATTAACACGTTGAGCGTGGCGCCGAATTTGCTGTCCTTTCCGTTCAGCTGGCAGCGAGCTAAGCCGTATTTTTGTTTAGAATGTTTCAATACATTTTCATTAAAACTAAATTTGATCACATTTCATTGAGACTATATTTATTTTTTAACTTTAATACTGTCGGTCCTACGGACCGACGGTAGCCAAAACGAAAATTCCAGTGCCGGTCCCCAGGGACCGACGCCGGCCACACAGAAAGTTCAGGGGGACCGGCGCCGAGCTCAACGTGTTA